TGCCTCTTACCCACTTAGACCATCCCCCCTCCCACAACCCCTCCAGTAACCCTCTGTTTGTTCTCCATATTTATGAGTCTCTTATGCTTTGTCCCCATCCCTGTTTTTATATTATTTTTGCTTCCCTTCCCTTATGTTCATCTGTTTTGTATCTTAAAGTCCTCATATGAGTGAAGTCATATGATATTTGTCTATTTGTCTTCCTCTGACTCATTTGCTTAACATAATACCCTCCAGTTCCATCCACGTAGTTGCGAATGGCAAGATTTCATTCTTTTTGATTGCCGAGTAATACTCCATTGTGTATATATACCACATCTTCTTTATCCATTCATCCATCTATGGACATCATCCATCGATGGGCATTTGGGCTGTTTCCATACTTTGGCTATTGTTGATAGTGCTGCTATAAACATTGGTGTGCATGTGCCCCTTCGAAACAGCATACCTGTATCCCTTGGATAAATACCTAGTAGTGCAATTACTAGGTCGTAGGGTAGTTCTATTTTTAATTTTTTTGAGGAAACTCTGTACTGTTTTCCAGAGTGGCTGCACCAGTTTGCATTCTCTGTGGCATTGATTTTTAATGAGTGACCCAATTAGAACTTTTTCCATATGGACAAGGAGCTATTTCAGCATCGTTTATTATTTTCCGCGTGTGATTTTTACCCAGCTTTTATAAAATTTATTTCTAAATACCACAGATTTTTTCTTGTGCCTTTTATTTTTATTTTTTTCTTGTGCCTTTTAAAAAATTAGATATTCTTCTGTTTATTTTGGAATATAGAAATGCATTGATTTTCGTATATTGATTTTATAGCCAGCTACGGTGCTAAACTCTTATTATTTCTAATAGTTTATCTGTGGATTCCTAATAAGTTTTCTTTGAAGACAGTTATGTCATCTGTGACTAATGACAATTTTGCTCTATCTTTTCTACCCCTTATGTCTTCATTTTATTTTCCTATTTTCCTATAGTGGCTAGGGGCTCGATACATTATTGAATAGAAGTAGTCACATTGAGCATCATTACTATGTTCTGATTTCAAGTGGAATGTTTCCAAACTTCTCCTTTAACAACGATTCTATTTCTAGTTTATTTAGAATATTTATCAAGAGTATGTGTCGAGGGGCATCTGGGCAGCTCAGTCGGTTCATCATCCAACTTTGACTCAGGTCACGATCTCGCAGTTTGTGAGTTCAAGCCCCGTGTTGGGCTCTGTGCTGACAGCTCACAGCCTGGAACCTGCTTCGGAGTCTGTCTCCCTCTCTCTCTGCTCCTCCCCCACTCACACTCTCTCTCAAAAATAAACATAAAAAAATCTTTTTAATTAAAAAAAAACAAGTATGTGTTGAATTTTCTCAAATTGTTTATATGAATCTTTTGAAATGATTCTCTGGGTTTTCTCCTTTATTTATTTATTTATTTTTAATGTTTTTTATTTTATTTTTGAGAGAGAGAGAGTGAGACACAGCGTGAGCGGGGGAGGGTCAGAGAGAGGGAGACACAGAATCAGAAGCAGGTTCCAGGCTCTGAGCTGTCGGCGGCGTGGAGCCTGACTCAGGGCTCAAACCCAGGAACTGCAAGATCATGACCTGAGCCAAAGTCAGACGCTTAACCAACTGAGCCCACCCAGGCGCCCGGAGAGTATGACCTCATCTTAACTTGATTACATCTGCAAAGGTCCCTTTGCAACTGTTATTCAAATGGCTCGACCTTGGAACTCGGGAGGAAACCTTGCATTTTAGGAGCCTTGCACCATTAGCGGTCTAATCTCCTGGTCCCTGGGTACTGATGGCTGACCAAAAATCTGGCTAAATTCTTAAATCAGTTTTAATGAGTTATATTTGTGATTATCCATTTTATCAGTTTTCTAGTTATTTGCATAAAATCATTCATAATGTTCTTTTATAATCCGTATCTGCACTTAAAAGTCTTTTTTCATTTCTAGTAATTTTTTCCTCTCTTTTTTCTTGTTCAGTCTCATCAGAGGCTTGTTAATATATTCAAGAACTTAAAAAGACACCTTTTCTATCGTACCTTTTGTTTTCAAGGTTCATCCATTTTTCCAGCGTGTGCTATGCTTCATTCCTTTTGGTTGCCCGATAATATTCCCTCGTATGGATGTACCACAATTCATCCACGTGTTTGCTGGTGGACATTGAGGTTGTTTCTACTTTTGGGGGCATGGACATTTGTGTACAAGTTTTTGTGTTGACGTGTTTCCATTTCTCTTGGGTGTATGCCTAGGCAAATGATTTCTGGGTGCTGTGACCGCTCTGTATTTAGCGTTGGGAGGAACTGTCAGACTGTTTGCCAAAGCGCTAGTCCCGTTTTCTGTTCCTACCAGCAGGTGCACGAGGGTTCTACTTTTTCCACATCCTCCCCAGCCCTTGTTCCTCTCCTTTTTATGATAATCATCCTAGTGTGTGTGACGTGGTTTCTCATTGTGGTTCTTCTGCTGCACCTCTCTGTGCCAGCTTAGATGTGGACTGTCTCTTCATATGTTTATGGACAATTTATATATCTTTCGGAGAAATGTCTATTTGGATCCTTTGCCCATTTTTAAATTGGGTTATTTGACTTGTAGAAGTTTTTTATTTTTTAATGTTTATTTTTTTAATTTGAGAGACAGGTGGGTAGGGGCAGAGAGAGAGAGAAAATCCCAAGCAGGCTCCATGCTGAGCATGGAGCCCAACCCAGGGCTTGATCTCACAACCGTGAGATCATATTCTGAGCTGAAATCAAGAGTCAGACGCTTAACCAATGGAGCCACCCAGGTGCCCCGACCAGTAGAGTTTATATATATCTTGAGCAAAGTCCCTTATCAGACACGTACTTTGCACATATTTTCTCCCATCCTGTCGGCTGTCTTTGTACTTTCTTAATGGTACCTTTTAATGCGCAAAAGTTTTACATCTTGATGAAGTCTCACTTCCCTATTTTTTTCTTTGGTTGCTTGTGCTTTTGGTGTCCTATCTCCGAAACCAGTGCCAAGTCTCAGGTTAAACCCCAAATCATGTGACCTCCCTTCTCTCATGGCCATGAAAGCTGCCAACTCCTGCAGCCTGACCTAGGCCACAGAGGGTCGGTGTGGATCACGCTGGCAGAGCAGGGACAGGTGCAGCCGTGGGCAAGGACGCCATCAAGCATAAATGCTTCTCGGATTATCTCATGCCTTTGGTCCATTTCCAGGGCATGGAGATGGTGGTTTTGTCCAGCTTTCTAGTTGCCTTTAGAGGTGAGGATTTGTCTGGCCCTTCATTCAGCCGCGGTCAGACCCCCTGTCATTATCCACTCCTTTACCTCTGCTTTCAGATTTTCTGCTCCTTGTCTCACTCTGCTTCCTGTTTACTGGATCTCTGCTGTTTTGGCTGTGTTGAATCTGCTATTTAACCTGTAGTGCATTTGATTTATTTCAAGAACGCTGTTTTTCATCTCTAGCACTTTCAGTTTTCTTTCCCCGCCCTCCCACATTTGCCTGTTTATTCCTGATGGTCCCTTCGTTTCGTGCTCATGTTGCACACAGCTATGTTCTCTGACAACTCCTGTGTCTGTTGTGTGTTGTGTCTGCCGAGTCCCATTCTCAGGGGCCTCCTTTCTCGTGTGTTTTATGATTTTTGTGTGTGAGCTCATGACTCGATCCCAACCTGAGTGAGTTGTGTATGCCTCAGTAGGGGAAGATTTCTTCCAGAGAGGACTTGCCTCTACTCCCACCAGTAACTACAGGGCACCCACCAGTAGGGACCACTTCAGCCCTCTGGAAGAAAGGGCTCACTGCTGCGCAGCAACCAAGCTTGGGTTGTGTGGAGAGCCAAGGGAGACACCGTGGGGCATCTGCTCATCACAGGCCCAGGCTCAGTAGCCACATTAGTGCTGCCCTCTCCCTACTTTTCTGGCCTCAGTTCCCTCCTTTTTTTT